CACGCGACCGCGGCGGAGAACAGGCAAGCACTAAATATACAGGAGGCGTCAGGGTCAGGATCGAACCCACAAACCTCTTGTATACCAGGCCAGGTAGTTAACATATCGTCACCACGGCGGATATCCAGGCCACTTCACACCCCAGCGGGTATTTTGGGATTTGAAGCTTTCGTGACTGCAAGGATTCATCTTCTTTGGTTCTTTCGGTAAAGTCACCACGTAGAATGAGAATAAAATAATAAATTAATAAAATAAAATAACACAATAAAATTCTCACGACGTTTCGGTCCACAACACAAGCGGCCTTCATCAGGTGAAGGGACGAGACTGTCTGGTAGGACAGCGCTGGAGTGAAAAAGCCACGCTCAGATCGCGACCTTTAAGCCTCAACTTTAGCAACACGGATAGCTACGGGCCCCGTTCAGACGGACGAGTTCATCCATGGTCGGAACAGATGAGGGGGAGAGAGACAGCTTAGAGTCGCGGCATCTCTTCAGAAAGGTGAGAGACTCGATTAGTTGAGCCTTCTTATCCCGGAGTCTGTTGAATGATCTTAAGGTTGTGTGAAATCCCTCCCCGTAGAGGCGGTTAAATTTCGATTTAAAGTTTTCGTGACTGCAAGGATTCATCTTCTTTGGTTCTTTCGGTAAAGTCACGTAGAATGAGAATAAAATAATAAATTAATAAAATAAAATAACACAATAAAATTCTCACGACGTTTCGGCCACAACACAAGTGGCCTTCAACACAAGTGGCTCCAGCGCTGTCCTCCAGACAGTCACGTCCCTTCACCTGATGAAGGCCACTTGTGTTGTGGCCGAAACGTCGTGAGAATTTTATTGTGTTATTTTATTTTATCAATTTATTATTTTATTCTCATTCTACGTGACTTTACCGAAAGAACCAAAGAAAAAGGTTTTTGAGAGTTTCACAGATCTACATGATCCACCAACCTCTCTCCCCTCCATAGTTTACAGGCATGGACCCTGACTTCCCACGGGGTAAATTGTTATTTACGGTTAACAGTAACCATATCCACAGTAACCAGGTTTGCTGATCACTGTTTACTGCTAAATCAACCTTCGGATGGCGACAGTGGTGGGGACTATGTATCCTCAGATGCAAAGCACTCGGTGTCATTTTCAACAGGGAAAGTGTATAAAATACCCCTGAGTTGACTCAATGAAGTCAGATTGTCCCATTCATCTTCCTCCAATGGATTGTTACACGGGGGTTGTTGTTGTTGTTGTTGTTGCAAAAGACAATCAGCAAATACTTTCACCTGAAAATATGGTTTAATCTTGGCCGACCGGCTTCCATAATTCAAATCCAGGACCTCAGCAGTGCCAGCTCATCGCTTGGCCGCAGGGATTACGAGCGACTTGATTCACACAGCCGCTTGCAGCTCTTGAGTGCGTGCCAAATTGAGGTGACCAGACGGATCAGGTCAGAGCGTTGAGCCGACAGCCCCCCCGAGATCCTGGGTCCAAATTCACGATGTCAGCTGTAATGAAGCCAATGTTCTCAAATGTGGTCAGTTGATAGTATCAGCCTTGTCACCAATGACTACGGGAAAATACAACCATGTAAAATTTTGCTCTGTACCTAATTTGGTGGAAGTCCAGTGTTGAGAATTAATAATATCGAATTTGATTGTCATGCGATTGGTTTTCACACCTCATGATGATTGCTTGTGTTGCAGTCGAAACGTCGTGAGAATTTTTATGTTTTATATTTTTATTATTTTATTGTTTCCCTTCTTACGTGGTGACTTTACCGAAAGAACCAAGAATATGAATCCCTGCAGTTACGAAAGCTTCAAATCGAAGTTATTCTCGTTGTCAGAGCGGGTAGAAAAGTGCTGTCTGGGGCAGAGGTCACTTGAGGGCATCTCGGAAGTAGTTCTGTAGTATATCCTTCCGCAAACTGTTCTCAAACACAAAGGGTTGCACTTCTCTATGAGAGATTCCGATTGTCAAATGCCTGCTTGCTATGATGCCATCCGAACTTGAGCTCATCACGTCTGGGGTTTGTTTAATCCATACTTCACCACACTGGTCAAGGCAGATTGGGGAAGGGGGGGGCAGGACTGATGCGCATTTCATTCGCCAATGGAGTTCGCCATGAGCAGAATTCCAATGCACGTCACCAGGTTCATAACGCAGCGTGCTATCCACTGTGCCACCGCCTCTTCCTTTGTGGATCACATCAACGTAATGATGCATCAATAATCTAATGAAACGTCTTATTCTCCTGACACGTAACGTCGCACGCAAAACCCCGGTCATTCCTCGCAGCGGCCGTTGGCTCGTCATCGAACAAGAACGGTCACTGCATCGCGCGCTTTCAAAAGTGCTTCTGCGGCCATCTGGAACGCTCTTCAAATATTAGGCAGCCACTGGAGCTATGCACTTTAAAATGTAGATTGCAAACTCATTTCTTTACAGCTGCTTGTTGTGTTCAGTTTGTTGTCCTTCCCCCCGCACCTCCGATTAGCACAGTTGGCTATGTACGGTACGAAAGAAGTTCAACGCACATGCATCGAATTGCATGTGCAACGATCATGTATGACTTACGAAGGTTCCATGCACATTATGTGGGAATGTTACAACGCAGTCAACGTAGCCAAACAAACGAGACAGGGATATAAAATGAGAAGGTAAACCTTAGACAGCAAAAGAGCATGCTCTTGAATCAGGTCGTGCTCGAGTCGTGACAATTCATGAACTCACAGGGGTAAGGAAGAATAGTTTTCATGCACCATTAATTTATTTCAGGTCTATTCAACTTCATTGTGATATTTTTTTTTAATCCATGCCCACATACATCTAGGTTTTCTTTACATGCCGATAAAGTTCGAACCCTGAGTATGTGTGATTTTCTGCAACTTACAATATTCCGTGAATTTAACAACGCACCACTGACTGTGAGTTGTATGCACGGTACATGATTTGTTGTTAAAATCTCCTGTATATTACAAGTTGCAGAAAGTCACATACCCGGGAATTACATTCTACAGCTGTGAATGTTCACGATACATTCATCAAATTGCACACTTAATGCATTCACGGTTTATGCAGTTTGGGCATAAATGATATGCAGATTACATATTTTAGGCTAATTCACTGAACAAACCTACAAATGAGACCACTCTGGGAGGCCTTCATCCAGAAGTGGATTAACCATGGCTGAAGATTCTCATCATTTGCCCTTATCGGGATATCATTCATTGGAGGTTTTAGAAAACAAACCAACAGAACAGTCTTTGATAGGGTCTCTAGACAATATATTGGCACAGCAGTCTCTGATAGGGTTTCTAGACAATAGACTGACACAGCAGTCTCTGATAGGGTCTCTAGACAATAGACTGACACAGCAGTCTCTGATAGGGTCTCTAGATAATAGATTGGCACAGCAGTCTCTGATAGGGTCTCTAGACAATAGACTGACACAACAGTCTCTGATAGGATCTCTAGACAATAGACTGACGCAGCAGTCTTTGATAGGGTCTCGAGACATTAGACTGGCACAGCAGTCTATGATAGGGTCTCTAGACAATAGACTGACACAGCAGTCTCTGGTAGGGTCTCTAGACAATAGACTGACACAACAGTCTATGATAGGTTCTCTAGACAATAGACTGGCACAGCAGTCTCTGATAGGGTCTCTAGACAATAGACTGACACTGCAGTCTCTGAAAGGGTCTCTAGACAATAGACTGGCACAGCAGTCTCTGATAGGGTCTCTAGACAATAGACTGACACAGCAGTCTCTGATAGGGTCTCTAGACAATAGACTGACGCAGCCGTCTCTGATAGGGTCCCTAGACAATAGACTGGCACAGCAGTCTCTGATAGGGTCCCTAGACAATAGACTGGCACATCAGTCTCTGATAGGGTCTCTAGACAATAGACTGGCACAGCAGTCTCTGATAGGGTCTCTAGACAATAGACTGGCACATCAGTCTCTGATAGGGTCTCTAGACAATAGACTGACACAGCAGTCTCTGAAAGGGTCTCTAGACAATAGACTGACACAGCAGTCTCTGATAGGATCTCTAGACAATAGATTGACATAACTGTCTGATGGCGGTCTGTAGACCAAACACAACAGTCTCTGCTGAACGTACCAAGGTCAAAGTGTGTCAATGCATAAAAGAGCGCATGGGGTAAGTGATCAATTTCTGTCAGCGACCTTGGGATATCGTTGAAAATTCCACATTCCTATGATGAGGGTCAGACTCTCCGCCACACATAGTTAACAAATGACAATCACTGGTGACTTGCAAAAAAGTTGTACATGTTGTATTGATCCCAGAAGGCATACAAGTCACAGCACCACAGACTAATTTAACCTTGGCCGAGACTGCTCCTGCTTCTCTCTGCATATTTGTGCTAAAAAAATCACTCTCACATATTACTGTGCCTAACCATAACTCTAAACCCTAAACGCTAACCATGAATCCTAACCCTAACCCCCAAACTTAAGCCATGAGCCTACGAGTAGCACGGTTGGCTATGTACGGTGCGAAAGAGGTTCAAAATACAGTACATACATACATATGAACCTCACTAATGACTATACACCCTAACCCTCGGTGTATTTTGAACTTATTTTTCACTGTATGTAGCCAACCATGCTTATCGTAGGTGCGAGTGAAGGACAGCCAAAACCATAAGCCGCAAACCTAAGCCATGAACCCGATTAATAACCATAAACCTAATCCTAAACCTCAGCCATAATCCTAAACTTTAACCCTAAACCTTAACCCCAAACCTCAGCTATAACTATAAACCCCCGCCCCTAATTCTCTAACTGCAACCCCGAACCCAAAACCAGAATGCTTTAGCCCTGCACCGTAAGTAAAGAAGCGACCTCACGTCAATATTTAATGCACTGAAATCCCAGGAAGCGCACGGGACAAACATCTGATCTATGATTGGGTCAAGATCTGTAGGGAACAGTACGAGTACTTGTGTCACGTCCTTAGACATGATTACCTTGAGGCAATGTGGAGACTTGGCGATGAGCAGTAAGAGTCCAGTAGGAGACACAGTAGTGGTGAGCAGTCGAGAGGCGCTACGTGTCCCCTTTAGAGACAGCATTCCACGTTGAGCCACGTTTAGACGCGGCTGCTTCCATCCTTGCAGCGTTGGAAATAACCGGCGGTCGAAAATAGCCGCATCGTCAGCCATTCAGCCACCGCTGACTCGATTAGTGACGCCAGCATCAGCATAACCACAAAGTCTACCAGAGCTACTACAAACACAGGCAGCGTTACCACGAACTTCCACCACAGCTACCACGAACACAGCCACCACAGTTATAATGAGCTCCGCCACAGCTACCACGAACACAGCCACCACAGTTACCATGAACTCCACCACAGCTGCCACGAACACAGCCACCACAGTTACCATGAACTCCACCACAGTTATCACGAACGCCACCACAGTTACTACAAACTTCACCACAGTTACCACGAACTCCACCACAGTTACCACGAACTCCACCACAGTTACCACAAACTCCACCACAGTTACCACAAACTCCACCACAGTTACCACGAACTCCACCACAGTTACCACGAACTCCACCACAGTTACCACAAACTCCACCACAGTTACCACGAACTCCACCACAGTTACTAAAAACTCCACCACAGTTACCACGAACTCCACCACAGTTACCACGAACTCCACCACAGTTACCACAAACTTCAGCACAGTTACCACGAACTCCACCACAGTTACCACAAACTCCACCACAGTTACTACAAACTCCACCACAGTTACCACGAACTCCACCACAGTTACCACGAACTCCACCACAGTTACCACGAACTCCACCACAGTTACTACAAACTCCACCACAGTTACCACGAACTCCACCACAGTTACAACGAACTCCACCACAGTTACCACAAACTCCACCACAGTTACTACAAACTCCACCACAGTTACCACGAACTCCACCACAGTTACCACGAACTCCACCACAGTTACCACGAACTCCACCACAGTTACTACAAACTCCACCACAGTTACCACGAACTCCACCACAGTTACAACGAACTCCACCACAGTTACCACAAACTCCACCACAGTTACCACAAACTTCACCACAGTTACCACGAACTCCACCACAGTTACCACGAACTCCACCACAGTTACTACAAACTCCACCACAGTTACCACAAACTCCACCACAGTTACCACGAACTCCACCACAGTTACCACTAACACCACCACAGTTACCACGAACTCCACCACAGTTACCACGAACTCCACCACAGTTATCACGAACTCCACCATAGCTACCACTAACACCATCACATTTGCCACGAACTCCACCACAGTTACCAATAACTCCACCACAGTTACCACAAACTTCACCACAGCAACCACAAACTCCACCACAACTACCACGAACACCACCACAGTTACCACAAACTTCACCACAGCAACCACAAACTCCACCACAACTACCACGAACACCACCACCAGTGTTAATATTATAACAACCACCATTGCCACTCATGTCATCACCACCATTACCACTAACAACTGTAATATAAACATTACCAAAACTATTACCAGTGAAATCAGTTTCATCACCATTACCCTGCCGTCACCACCGAATTTATCACCACCAGTGCCGGTAAAATCATTTCCACCACTGCCACCATAACCACACTACCACCATTATCACCATCAATATAAACCAATAATAGCACATTATCATCATCACATCGCCACCACTGCCATCTTCCACCATCGCCACCACCTTTACTAACATTATCAATGTCACCACAATTCTAACCATAACGGCGATTGCCACCTACGTAATGGAATCAACCACCTACATAATTTCCCTTACCTCCACAATCACCACTAGAACTACCATAAATACGGCAATACCATCACCACAATCATCAATACTATAAACCACCTCTACCATTATCATCACCATCGTCACTACCACACCACCCCGCTACTATCACCACTACCATAACTAATGCATCCACTCCTAACCACAATCACAAAGACAAAGATCCCCCACACAGCCTTCAACAGACTGTCGTGGCAAGTGCTGTTAAGCTGAGAGCACCTATGAAGGATGGAACGGTACACGAGGGGGTGGGTGGCCAGCACCATGCCCGACCCGCCTTTGTCTCTCTAGTGGCGATGTTTTCCTACACACCGCACCAGGTGACTCATTTAAGTCGACCTCGAGAAGGCCCAGGAGCGGTTCAGATATTCGTCACTGCTGTTGTTGTTGTTGGGAGTCGAAACCCGGGTGGCCGGATTCATAGCGCAGCTCGCGAACCGCTAGGCTGTCGCTCCCCATCACAAAAAACACCGCACATCAAATTAACCTCGACGAGAAACACCACTGTTTACCACCTTAATCAGCGCTGCCGTTACCCACGGCTGCTTGTCGGTGTTTATTTATCGAATGTAGCAAACAGCCAAGATGAGAAATACGTGTATCATGGATAGCAGCAGGTACAAACAGAACGTTGATGAGAATGATTAGAGAAAGGCAAGTGATAGATTTCTTGGAATTGTAGTGCGTAAACAAGATACTGAAATATTGATGTTCGACTGGGAACGTTATAGATTTTTTTTTAAAAACACGGGGACGACGGTGAATTGAGTTACATAAGCAATTGAAGCAAGTTAATGCAACGGGGACCAGCCAATGTAACGTTTCTTGAGCAATGTCAATGACAGAGCTAAAAAGAAGTTGGCCACGTGGGCCTTTAGAAAGGACACGTGGGCACATATGGAGAGATTTTCGTTACAATGTAAAAAAAAAATTGGTTGAGGGCATTCAACGGGCATCTAAAAACATTTCGGTGGGTAGGGAAGAAAACGCCCCCCCCCACTCCTCTTCCCCCCCCCACTCCTCTTCCCCCCCCCCACCACCACCTTGAGTTTATTCAGCCTCTGACCACCGTTGTGAACCATTCTTTTATGTTTCATTTGCTGTCCCCCCCCCCGCCGCCCCCGCACCTCCGATTAGCGCGGTTGGTTGCGTACGAACGTGCATCAACATCGCCACCGTTGGCACCGCTGCCGCGATCTACAATAGATCGCCATCGTGATCTAAAAACGCCCCCGGAACAATGTCTAAGTTAGGCCACGTCTGCCCGCCCGCTCGCCCGCGTCTCTCTTTCACTGCCAGCCGTGAAAGCACTGGAATGTCCCTTGTGCTGGACCCGTAGGGAGGAATGTTGTGAGTGCTTTGCGTCATTTCAACCGAAGGAGAAAGACCCCCCCCCCAAGACCCACGTCTTTGGGCACCGTGACTCCTGGTAGGCAGTGGTCCCTTTCATCAACATGTTGACTTTGTTTACCCACGCAAGTCTGGCAGAGTCCATAAGACTTTTTTTTCACGAGAGTTTGTAAGGGGTGATATTTGATGCAATTTTTTTTCCGTGTAGTCCATAATATATATATTTTTTTTTGGGGGGGGGGGGGTGTTAGATTGCGTAAATATACGTGCCGTTAAACCCTCCACCACCCGATGCAACCAATAATAAAGTTTTGTCACGTAGACACAAACATGCCAGTTAGTTACTAGTTCAGCACACCGGTGTGTTGTTATGTCGTTCACACACTTCTGCTTGCCAATTCTGTGACTACTCGGGTGACAGGGTGGCCCCAGGGCAGTGGTGAAACTTGCCTCTCACAGCAAAAAAAGGGTCCGTAGGTTCGATTCCCGACCCAGGCGCCTTTTTGTGTGGAGTATTCATGTTCATCCTCTGTTCTGGATGGGGTTTCTCTGGGTTCTCCCCAGTTGCACCACCCATCAATTCCAACATTACCACATCACGATCACCATTAACTCTACCATCACGATCAACTGCACCATCACTGTGAACTCCGACGTCACCATCAACTTCATCATCAACTCTGCCATCACCAACAAATGCACCATCACCATTAACTTCACCATCACTCTCAACTACACCATCAACTTCACCATCAACTCCACTATCAACTACTACCGTCACTGTAAATTCCACAATCACCACATCATCCATCAAATCCACTACCACTATCATCACCACGTCACCATGAACTCCACCAACACCAGATCACCAACAACTCCACCACCACTGACTGCCATTACCAGATAACCAGCACCATCAAATCCACACTCACCACAACACCGTCAACTCCACCAATGCAATCATCTCCACATCACCATCACAATGAACTCCACCATCACCACATCACCATCACAATGAACTCCACCATCACCACATCACCATCACAATGAACTCCACCATCACCACATCATCATCACAATGAACTCCACCATCACCACATCACTATCACAATGAACTCCACCATCACCACATCACCATCACAATGAACTTTACCATCACCACATCACCATCACAATTAACTCCACCATCACCACATCACCATCACAATGAACTCTACCATCACCACATTACCATCACAATGAACTCCACCATCACCACATCACCATCACAATGAACTCCACCATCATCACATCACTATCACAATGAACTCCACCATCACCACATCACCATCACAATGAACTCCACCATCACCACATCACCATCACAATGAACTCCACCATCACCACATCACCATCACAATGAACTCTACCATCACCACATTACCATCACAATGAACTCCACCATCACCACATCACCATCACAATGAACTCCACCATCACCACATCAGCATCACAATGAACTCCACCATCACCACATCACCATCACAATGAACTCCACCATCACCACATCACCATCACAATGAACTCCACCATCACCACATCACCATCACAATGAACTCCACCATCACCACATCACCATCACAATGAACTCCACCATCACCACATCACCATCACAATGAACTCCACCATCACCACATCACCATCACAATGAACTCCACCATCACCACATCACCATCACAATGAACTCCACCATCACCAGATCACCACCACCGCGAGCACAGCGTCACTACTACCGTGAACAGCTACACCACAGCTACACCACAGCTACACCACAGCTGGTAGCTACACGGTTGGGGGTGCCCTCATCCAGCAGCGGATTGAGAACATGACTGTTGCACGTGCACATTGTAGACCTGT